ATATATATATATATAATGATTTAATCAATTACAAAGTTACAATATTTGTATTATTGGTTAAAATTTAAATTAAATTTTGGTGTAAAATTATGAATATCTTTTAGTTGTTTAAATGTTTATATGCTGTTATTTTTTTAATTGTTGAAAATTATATGTTATAATTATTTAGATAAATCTTACATCCATTGTGTGGCACATCTCAATGAATTGCCAGTTACAAAATGCAAGTTATAATTTAAAAATACACAAGAAAAATACAAATCTAACAGCTATTGGTTTAAATTTTTACCTGAAAACTTCTGGATGACACTTCTTTCTGGGTGATTTTTCTGGATGGCACTTCCTTTTTTAGAGATGAGGTGTGCTTCTCTCCGCCATTAAAGGTCTGTTCTCTCACTTAAAAATCGAGCTGAGAAATATCGATTACGTTCGAGAATCGTAGAAAGTGTATTGCCTATTTCACTGTGTAGTGGCGCTGTAATCTTCAACTAATTTGAATCCAATACGCGCGCATTTCACATGAAATATTAACTTGGAATAAAAAATAAAAAACTCTGATCTCAATAAAATACACAAAATTCATGAATTCTTAGAAAAGAATGATAATATTCATATACTAAAAGAAAAATTATCAGTACTTAACTGTTATAATTTCATGAAAAAAAATTGTAGAACAATTAACTTGATTTTGTTTGAATCTCTACTTTCGCAATCTTGAGTTTGATTAGTTCAAAAATATTTATTTTTACATCACGCAGCAAGTTTAAAAATAAAAATACTTTTTTTCTCGAAAATTGTAAAAATTCAAACATTTCGCCAAAGAGAAATTTTTCCATCACTGAACAATTTTTTTTTCATGATAAGATCTACCTTGAAAACTGAAATCTCCCTTTTATAGTGAGCACTTGAAACTAGCTTTAGGATTTTTTTTATTGAATTATAAATAATAACTCATTAATTTTTAACAAGTTATAATAACAAATGACCTCGTATGCAAGTCACTGAATCTGTCTTGATAAATAACTATCTCATTTAAGAAAATGAATTTAACTTCAAAATTTCGAAAACGAACTGCAAAAAATAATTTACCACACAACACACTTTATATCAAACAATACTCGTAGAAACATTTCTTATGATATATACAAATTTTTATAAAATCAAGGTTGCAACATTCATTTAGACTCTGAAACTACACATTAAAATAAATAAAAAAAATATCATATCTAATTACGTTGTTAAAAAATATATCAATCAATTTTTTCTAATACTTTTAAATAAATGTAAATAATCAAATATATAATAAATTTTTTATCCCAATTTCCATTGACACATTTACACATCCCAATCTCACACACACACACACATCTGGAAAATATGTTATGCATGATACACTAACGCATTATCAGTCACTGAATAAATTATTATACTTATAAACTATAGTGTCTATTATCTTTCTCATGTGAGTAAGATCCTGGCAATGAACATGAAAAGAGTTAAACCTGAAAATCTTGAACTAAAAACGTGATTAATATATTTATTTTGTATCTAACGAGTTAATATTCCTTAATATAACATACTCTTATTTTATTTCATTTTTTAATAGTTCAATAAACTATTAAAATGTTATATATTATTTATTTAAAGATTCAATTCCAATTATATAAAATTGCATTATTACAAATTATTATAAATAATAATGACTTTAATAATGAAGAAATAAAAGAAATATCCTCGAGTGATTCCTTCATCAAAGAACATCTTTGAAAACACAAAACATTCAAAATTATTGCTTTGATTCTGAAATCTTTCTGTCGCGAAGTGTTTTCTTGCATATGAAAATACATTCTTGAATGGATAAAATTGACCTTTAATAGCTACATATTTTGAATTTTATGTTTCAAATTCTATTCAAATTAAATTGATTATAAAAATCAAATAATAAATTCCATATTGTCAATTATCAATGTTATTTATAACTATATAATAATAATAATAATAATAATAATAATAATAATAATAATAATAATAATATTAATAATAATAACAATAATAACAATAATAACAATAATAACAATAATAACAACAATAACAACAATAACAACAATAACAACAATAACAATAATAACAGTAATAACAAC